AGGGAGGATGGAGGAGGAGGACATCAGGGAAGATGGGGGAGGAGGACATCAGGGAGGATGGAGAACAGGTATGAGATAGAAGGAGAACAGAACAGAGAAAGAACAGAGTAGTAACAGCAGATAGAAAAAATAAAATGAAGAATTAAGTGTTGGCCCTCAAAAGAGTCTCCTGTGTGCATATGCTGTTGTGCTGACTCCATGCCTCCTCTCAAGTACCTACCTGCTTGAGGGCAGGTCTCTTGGCAGGAGACAATAAATTTTCACCCAAGATCCTCCTGGACATGAGACACCCAGGCTGGCACACAGCCTTAGGAATGGGACAATAGGCTAACTGTTGAGTGAGCCCATATGGGTATATGAACTTGAGCCTGTAAGAACAGCCCCCTCATCTCTAGTGGACTCTTGTCTGCCTAAGTAAATAGAGCCAGACATATCCAAGAGTGCACTTGTGTGTCACCTCAGGCTAGCTTTGGTTGAGGGTTCTTCATAATGACAAGGACTCTGGGTAATTCTGACTTGCTTGCGAAACCCCACCCATCCTCAGCTCCATTCCTGACTGTCTCCACTGCCCCATCCTGCCTATTCCCCAGGGAGAATTTGGTCTGAGGCCAAGAAATGAGTGATCTGAGGATGTCCCATCTTTTACTACATATACACAAACCCCTCAGGGTAGGGGCATGTCTTGCTTAACAGACTGTGTAAAAAGGAGGCATACTCCACAAAAATCTTCAGATGAATTAAAAATAACATACTAAGTTTAGAAGACATACATCTTCAGAGTGATATGGCTTGGGATACATAGTGACATGGATATGTATCTCAATGTTAATATGAGTCTCAATTCTTTTCTAATGGCTCCTTTTCCATTAAATTTATTGGCATACAATGAACTATACATCTTAATGTGTACAATGTAATTTGTGACCTATATGCAGTTATGAGGCTGTCATCACAATAAAAACAATGAGCCCATCATTCATCTTAAGTGCTTTCCATGTTCTTTGAGCCCTTTTGGGATTCTGCTCCTTTCCTGGTCTCTGTTCCCTACCAAAGTTGTAACTCTGACCTCACTATGCATCAGTTTATGTTTCCTAGGGTTTGAGTTTACTTTTTTTTGTAAGTCTCATGTAGCCTAGGCTGGCCTAAGCAAATTTACTATAGAGCCAAGAATGACCTTGAACTCCTGACCTCCCTATGTCTACTGCCCAACTGCTGTCGTTACAGGCGTGCATCACCAGGTCTGGATCTAGGGTTTTATATACAGTATCTACTTTTTTGTGTTGTTACTTTGGGAATTCATGCTGTTGCTGCATCAGTAAATCATTGTTTTTCATTGACAAGGTAAGTATTCCACTGAATGGGTTGATACACTTTCCTGTTGACTTTGGGGCTGTATCCACTTTGAGGCTAATGTAAACAAAGCTGTGATTAACTTCCATCTTTTATGGATATTTGCTTTTGTTTCTTTTAGGGAAATATTTAGAAATGGCTGGATTGCACTGCAGCATATGTTTGTATAAATGGCTCACATGTTTTCCAAAGTGGCTGTACCATTTTACATGTCCACCAGCAGGTCATGAGAGTTCCAGTTCCTACACAGACTCATCAACACTTGTTACTGTCAATTGTTAACTGTAGCCAGTCCAACAGGGCTTTGACAGCAGCTCATGTGGTTTTCACTTTAATTTCTCCAATGACTAAGCGATCCCAAGCATTTTCTATGTTCTATTTGTATATATTTAGTGCATCTGCTGGACTCTTTTGCTCATTTTTGCATTGTCATTTTCTTGTAGGGGGTTTTAAGTTCTTCATAAATTCTTTTGCTTTGCGACTTGTTTTACCTAGTCCATTTCTTGTCTTTCATTCTCTGTATAGTTTTTGAGAGAGAATTTAAAAATGTTTTGAAGTAGTCAAATTTTTCATTGTTTTTGGTGATGTATCCAAGAAATCTTTGTCTAAACTCTGTGTTCAATGATATTTTCTTTTTATACTTGAGTTTTTAGATTTAGATTTCACCAACCACGGGGAGTTAATTTGTATAGAGGGTAGAATCAATTCCCTATCTACAACCCAACCACCCACAGATCCCCAACAAGCCACACTCTGTTCTCGATAAGCTTCTACAGAACACGTGCTACTGGCTGGTCCTCTGGGAGTCTATGCCAACTTCAGCTCCTCTGCATTCTCCGTCGCCCCAAGCTGAAATCACCTTGTGATATGGCCACTGATTCTGAGAGAGAGCAAGGCTCATGCCCTGTTTCTATGACTCTAGTACTGAACACTGCTTACCACAGGCATCCAGCAAAGGTCCCAAGAGTAAAGACTGTCTATGAATAAGTAAAGAATGTCACGTTCATATTCATTGACAAACAACCCCAAACAGCTACTGAGTAAACACTGCAGTCTATTCGAGAAACATAAAGATACAGAATTAAAAGTCCAAAGAATGACCTCAGGACCTAAATCTATCAGTTTTATTCCCAACGAAAGTGCCAGGGAACTTGAAGAGTATGAGGCCTGTTTTTCAAGACAAATGTTCAAGGACACACTGTATTTTAGGCAGTGAACTTTTGGTTAGCTGTAGAGATTTCCATGAGTCACCTGCCCATAGCTGCTGTGTTTTCCCAGCCCTCCATTTGGAAAAAGATAAGATGCGGGGGAGGATGAGTCATGCTGAATGTTCTCCAAGTGTTGTTGTTTAAAAAGCCGAGAATGTTCAATTGGTCTCATGTTAGGAGGGGAGTTTGATTACCACAGAAAAATCTGCACTTCCAAAAATGATAAGAAAATACTTCAAGCTCCAAACAAGAACATCGATACATTCTTCCCCAGTGTATGTTTGAATAATGGCCACACTATCAAACAAGCCCCACATGGAAAGAGAATATGTAAGTGGAACTTGACCCTTGAACTTGGGAGTGGTAAGTGTACAGGGATCCTTCAAGAACACTTAGCCTTGACTGTTTCAAAGCAATATGTTCCTTGAAACTGGAAGGAATGGGGCTACAACCAGACTCCCCGAGGCTAGGGAGGATCTTGGAATGATCCTGAACTATTCTGGCCACATCTTCCCACCTTGCCACCAGGATTCCAAAGCCAGTGGCCTCTTTGGGGGTTGTGATGGAGGGCTTCTGAGTGAAGAGAAAGTGAGGTGGCACACTTCTAAACTGGAAGCAACCATGCTGCCAACTAGAAATTAAGATAGGGGGGGTCAGTGTGTGAAGATGTTTGCTGTCTGGGTAGGCCTGGCAACCTGAGTTCAACTCCAGGTATCGACATAAGGATGGAAAGAGAAGCAACCCCAAAAAGCTGTCCTCTGACCTCCACATGTGTGCTGTGGCACATGTGTGCCCCCCATATATACATATACACAACAATAATACACTTTCAAAATTTAAAAAAGATGAGGTGGGATAAACTCAGGACATATATGTCTTTTTTAGGACAATGTGGCCATGGTGATCAGAATGCTTGTCTCCTCTAGTCTTTTTCATGTAAGAAAATGCTAGGATATACACACAGGAATTTCCATCTATCACAGCCATAAAAAAAATGTGCACTATGACTAACTAGACCTTCTGTCCAATATCTGCCATGGTAAGATTAGAGTTACCATGGTAACCATTCTAACACTGAGACCCCAGGAGTTCAAAGGCTGGAGAATTAGAATACTAAAGAACCAACTTCATGTCTCAGGTTCCCCCCATGGCCATTTGTCCTCCATCAGTGGGATGCAAGCTTTCTTACAGAGCTGATGTAATTCTAAGCCAGGATCAAGGATGCATACCAGCAGCCAGAGTGTGTACTGTGTCCACAGGCTGGAGCCAGTCTCTTCCAAATAATGTCCTTCCTAAAAGGGACAACATTCTCAGCCTCTACGCCACCATCAAGTTGCACTGTGCAGTATGTACTGCCTGTTTGTGGAATATTCTACTTAGTATGTTTGGACTGTGGGTACTCCCACATAACCGGAACATCAGCAGTTTACCACTAACTGGCCGGGGGGTGGGGGGGTGGGGGGGTAACCAGGAAAGCTTGCATGGCGTGATGCTGCTACTGAAGGTGGGCTGCAGACGGTTTCCATAGTGACCTACAAAATCTTGATGACCACAATCTGTGGGTCAAAGGACTAACAAGTACTATTTTTTTTTTTTTTTGCAAAAGCTGTTACTTTTATGCCAGAAAAACGAACACAGAAGATGATAATATTCAAGAGAAGAAATCTAGCCTCACCTAAAATTTTTTTATTATTTTTAATTATGTGTGTGAGTGTTTGTGTATGTGTCTGTGTATGGGTATATGTACTTGAGTATAGATGCCCTAGGATGTCAGAAGAGGGCATTGCGTGTCCTGGGGCTGGAGGTACAGGATGTGGGTGCTTGGGAAAGGGATGTGAGTCCTCAGCAAGAACAGAGTGCGCTCTTAACCAGCAAGCCATATCTCTAGCCCTGGTCTTGCTTTTAAAGGTTGATATCACTTGCCTTTGGCAGGAGGGAATATTTGCCTTATTTAATATGCTCTTCCATTCTCTGTTATTTTCAAATTTATTTATGCCAGGGCCTTAAGATAGTGAAAAGTGAAAAGGCTGATGGGTCCATCTATACCCTCAGCGCAGATAATAAAGATGATCTGGCAGACAGCAGCTCGGGATGCTGACCTGGTGTTGGAAGGCTCCCCACTATCCCACTGTTCTAAGACTTAGTCCCTGTGCTCAATTCATGTTGTAGGTTTTCTCCCTCAGAGTCTGACTCTGTTCCTGTACGTCAGGCGGAGACTGCCAGAAGAGGGCTTGTCTTCAGATTATCTGAAAACCACAGAGATTTCTGACTGGCAAACTGCATATGATGTGGTCATTTGATAGTTTATAGATAGAAGTTTTGTGTCAGTTATATATAAACTCTCAAAGATAACATTTCCTAAACTTTGTACTAGAAAAAGACTTCAGTAAAATCTTCTCATGTATCTTCAAAATAATAATTAATTGCAATGTCAAGAGAGGACACAATTTCATTTTGTTCTAGATGGCAGCCTCCTCTTATCCAAGTCCCCAAGTGGCTGCCTGGAACCCTAGATAGTAGAAGCCTGGCATGTACTATGCTTCTGCTTATACACACCTTCCCATGACCCAGTTTAACATAAACCAGAGACACTGAGGAATGGACAATCACTGATAACACAATTAATAGTTATAAGAATGATTATAGTATAATGAAACTGCCAGCATCGCCACCTGCCCTTTGGGGCCATTATTACATAAAATAAGGGTCACTTAGAAATGAGTACTAAGAGATCGTGACAGCTGACGTGGTAAGTAAGATGGCTGCTGAGTGACTCACACGCCGCTAATGTGAACAGTGTGGACCCTGGACAAAAGGCTGATTCACATTCTAGACAGGCAGAGGACAGCTCAGAAAGGCTCACAATTTAAAACATATGCATTGCTGGTCTGTGGGATTTTCCACTTAACATTTTTGGACTGTGGGTGACCCTAGGTAACCCACTGCCATGTTGACAGATTTACTGCTTAAATATCAGCTACTGTTTCTGCCTTTTGTTGACTTGTGGCTGAGGCTCTTAGAAGCCTCTGGTGTGCAGCTTTCTGGAGAAGCGGGAGGTCTCTGAATCCTCTGACAATGCTCCAAGAGCAAAGAGACATTTTGTCACCACACAGTGACTCTGACACTAATGCACATTGCCATGTTAGATGTTTCAGATACATAGCTTGGGGTTTTTAATTCTCTATGTCCCTAGAATTTCCAGGAGAATGGCTGGGCATTCCTGTCCCTTACCATGGTCCAGGGAGGTGCTTGTGCTGTTTATTTGCAGCATACTTTCTTAGCTTACAGTGTTTATGAAGTGTCCGTTCAGCATTTGGTTTTCCTTCTCCTCCTGGGGCCCATATGGAGCACATGGACCTATGCGTATACATCATGATCTCATCCTAGAAGCATCTGGTCTGGGACAGCATCCCTTCTCTCCAGTTTTATGTACGATACTCCTTTGCTTTTACAGTTCTGCTTCTAAGACTCAAATGGTCCACCCCAAGGGAGCTGCCATGTTCACAGTACACCTGCTCCTCCGGGGAGGGCCAGGGCTCTGCTCTTAAGCATGTCTCTACACTCAGCATGATATGAAAGAGCCATCTTATCCCACTGTATCCCAACTGGGCTAATCCTAGAACCAACAAAACACAATCTGTAGGGCACAGAGATGGCACATAGCAATGCATACTTTCTTATGATAGATCAATAAACTTTTAGATATGACTACCAAAGAGAAATACTAAATTCAACGCTCCAAGAAGTTATTATTCCAGATGGTTCCACTCCCGATATTGCAGATAATTTCCTATGTCCCAAAGTCACTACCATCTTCTCACTCTGACCTAGCTAGGCATGCCACACATGACCAGGTGGAGAGTCCACTCACTGCCTCCCCACAGCAGAAGTCTTCATACCTTCTCAAACATCCGAGAGTGGAAAGGAGATGCTTTCAGAAGCATCATATCTTCATATTTACGTAAGTGTCCGAGGGAAACTGGCCTTCAGATTGTCATTCACTAACTATTCTGTTCAGTGTGAAGTCTGAAAAGGACTCACAGCTGGGTGTGGTGCTACACACCTTTACTCCCAGCACTTGGGAGGCAGAGGCGGGGGAATCTCAGTGAGTTTAAGGCCAGCCTGGTCTACAGAGTGAGTTCCCGGACAGTGAGGACTACGTAGAGAAATGCTGTCTCATAAAAGAAAGAAAAAGAAAGAAAAGGACTTACAAAATGACAATGGAATGGGTCTTACCTTCAGAAAGGCTTTCTTTTCCAACGTGTTCATGATAAATGGAGGGATGGCTGTAATAAAGACAGGGCCATTTAAATCTTCACTTAACGCCTGCCTTCAGCTGCGTTTCCCGTAACAGGCTGATAGAAAGCCGTGTCGCTTTTAGGCTATTTTTACATTGGCAGAGTGAAAGACTCAAACCAAAGCCAGTGCAGAACTGGAGCTGAGTGGAAACTGGGGTGCAATACTGTTTTCAGGCCATCTGGAAATCCGGGCTCAGGAGATGTGTTGGGGTCTCAACAGCCTTCTCTTTGGAATGACAAGCCTGCTGGTCCCTAGATACCTTCACAGACCACACTGGCAGCCCACTAGAGTATCAGATAATGCTGATCTCCTCCAGTTAGCTGAAACACAACATGATCAATGCTGTCTCTCAGTATCTACAGGGGACTAGATCCAGGACTCCTGTGGTTACAAAATGCATGGATGCTCAGCCTTAGAGCTGCTGGTCATCTCTAGGTGAATTGTGGCTTACAGACAACATACATGATGTGCAAAGAGTTACAAGAATAACAAGAAGAAAGCCTGAACGTGTTCAATACACATATCTTCCTTTTGGTGGCTGGTTGACTCTGGATGCTGAGCTGCATACACACTGCAGAATGTTCCTCAGTTTTCCTTTATGTACTTTTCTTCAACTTTTGTTGCTCATTCAAGCTAGTCAGCTCGGAGCATCATGTGACAATAGCCAGCATCATGTGACAATAGCCAACAGCAGCTGACAGACATGCTTCATTTGAGAGCACCTTGTAATCGCCAAGTGTTGTTTACATGGAGTTTAGGTGAAGAAATTCAAGAACATTAATTCCTGGGTTTCTTTCTTTGTTTTCCCTACAAAGAAAGCTGTCACTCGAAGGTCCTTTGATGTCTGAGTGTCTAAGAACCTTCTCTAGACCCCCAAGCAGCCCGATAGGTAGACAGGAGATTCTCATAGGGTCTTAATATGACACAGATGTTTTCTCTGCTCATGCTGACCTCACACTATGTAAATAACAGAGTAGCTGCCAGATGCACATTTTCTAATAGCTGTCCTCAGCATTGTCACTGTCCCATGTTCCAGGGAGAACTTCAGGAGAAAGTACTTATCTCCATGGACTTCAAAAGCATCATCTTAAGATTTATACAGTCCACACCCACTTCCATCCACTCTCATCATCTCCACTACATCACTCTGGCTTGCTGCCCGTGGTGCAGGGGCACCCCGAACTATCTCCACTCACCACTGCTGCACCCCTTTAATCTAGTCTCACATAGCACCCATATCACATAATTACCATGTTTAAAACTGCGTGGTGCTCTATTCCTCAGAATAAAAGTTAGAGCTTGGAATGCCCAAGTAGCTGGCGCTAGTCTTTGAGGCCCCTTCAAATCCTTTCTTTCTCTCCTCCTTTGCAGAATGCCTCCCACACAAAAGGCAAGCTCCTGCCCCTCTGTTGATGCCCACTCTACCTTGCTAAGAAGTCGCCCCCATCCTTATCCCTACCCAGTCCCTTGCCTGGCCACTTGCTTCCTCCATCCCTAGCGTTCCTTCCCTTGGCTCTTGTCACCATTTTACATACAGGTTAAGAATCCCTAATCAAAAAAACCTCAGCTCTGGGGGCTGGAGAGATGGCTCAGCAGTTAAGAGAACTGGCTGCTCTTCCAGAGGACCCATGTTCAATTCCCAGCACCCACATCGCAGCTCACAACTATCTGTAATCCAGCTCAAAGTGATTTGACACCCTCATACAGACATAAATGCAGGCAAAACACCAATGCACATAAAATAAAAATCAATAAATCATAAAAAACCCCTCAGCTCTGAAATGTTCCATAATCAGTCACCTTTCTCAACTCTCATACATCAGCTACAATGCATACCTACAATATGCAACGTTTGTTGCATTATGAAGTCATTAGCAATATTGCATAAAATTATTTTTAGGCCACATGTACAAGATGTATATCTATCATGAACAAATTTCAAATTTACCTTTGGGGCCCCCTGAGAGGTACCTCATTTTATTTATATGTAAATGTTCTAAAATTCAAACAAATCCTCAACCTGGGGCACTCCTGAAAGCCCCAAGCACTGTGGTAAAGGATGTCCCATTTGTACCACCCATTGTTTACTTGCTCAGGCGCAGGCTCCACCATCAGAAGGTAGTTTTCACAAAGGGCAGTGCTGTTTGCTGTTTTGTTTACTGGTAAAGGCTTGGCATGAACTACACGCAGGACCTCCAAGCTCACTCACCCATGCCGGGGGCTGCCATGAGGATCCTGGAGACCACCACCTGCGTGATGGCTTGTTTTGCAGCATTGGTCGATTCTCCCAATCGGGTGCCATTTTCATCAGTGACAGGAATGCCGACTTTGAGTTCCCTGAAGGGCAGAACATACGCAGAGGGGTTCACAGATGCCTCGAGGCAGCGCCCTGAAGGAGGGCTCTGGTGAGGAAGATTAAGTACCTCCTTCATCCAGTTCCCCACTCAAGTGTCATTCTTGGCACTGAGAAGTCTATTTTTGAATATCATGAACAGGTTCAAGCCTCCTGTGATAGACATGAAGGGAAAATAACAGGAGTACTCCTTTTTCAGAAGGATGTACCTTTCCAATAATAATATGATTTGAGGGGTGGATATGCTAGCTCAAAGGTGACGTTAATTTCTGTGCTCAGGTACAGATCTGAACAACCTTCTAAATCAGAAATAGATACAGTACATAGCGTTACTGAGCATCTCACGTATTGCCAGTCATTGCAACCTAACCCTGTTGGATATTCATTAGCTACATACAGTTTCTAATGCTAGGAGCCAACTCCTGCCACTGCCCTGATCTTTTGTGATCTGTCCAAAATGCTTATTCTTTCTTCTCCTTCAATTTCTGTCAGTTCTAAAAACACATTTTCAAAGATAAAGATTAAAATTACCTTAAGCTCCATATGAAAATTCCAAGGGAAAGCCAAGAAACTCTTGGCTTTCTCCATCTCTGGTCTCAATCTTACAGAACTTTTTTCTGTGTAGAGGGTGTAGACCTTTGAAATAGGAAGACTATGCATTCTAAGGCTCTAGGCCTTTTTCAGCCCACTTCAACGAACAGGAACCCAGTGGGCTTGCCCTTACCACCCCACTCTATTTTGAAGCAAATCTCAGATTTCATATGATTTCATCTACACTACGAGAAACTCCCCCACGGGGCCCAAGTCCCTGCCTGGTGCCTGTGTGCTCTTACCTTTGCCTCATCAGCGGGATGTTAATGCAGTTAGCAGCGGCTACGGCAGCGAAGGGAACAAAACGTCCTATCAGTGGTGAGACGCGCTGTAGGAAGATAATTCCACGAGTGTCATCTTGCTTTTCCTGGATGGCTGGATGGAAATTCTTACGTCTTCCTAAAAACTCCGCAGTCCTGGCTGTATAGAGCCAGGCCAAGGGGCTTCAAACCTGTTGCTTAGAGGTATTTCTGTATCTCTGGCAGAGACATACTGAGACAATGCCCCCATCTAAGACACTTTGATAGCTAGTTTGTGTGGCTGGAAGCACGTCACCAAGTCCCAGAACTTCGATTTCAGAGCCAGCTCTTCTACCTCTTCAAGCTCCCCCCATTCCCCCACCCCAGTCTTAGGAGGGTTTTTTAGAGAGAAGCATTTAGAACTTAATTCATAGAGCCAGGAACAGACCAGTCTTGGCTGATGCTACTAGTTACAACCTTCCCCAATCCACTAGAAGATACAATTAAACTATGCAGCTGAAGATGGCTACAGGCAAGCCAAGCGGCTGCAATTCTTTTGAGAATAACAGAGGCCCTCAGAGTGACAGGCGAGAACAAGTTAAGATGCTCTGCCATGGAAACACAACTCAAGTACCTTGGTTAAGGCGTTAAGTCCTAGGGCTGTCGCCACAGCACCAGTTGTAGCAGAAACATAAGCCGTACCCAGCTCACTGAAAAAAAAAATAAAGACATCATGTGAATGATGGGTGTAGGTCAGGGATCATGAACACAGGATCTGAAGAAACTGAGGAGGCAGGAGTGTATGATCAGCAGCGGAGAGTCTGCAGAGTAACATTTGGGGGTGACTCCACCAGTGTGGGAATCCAGAATGCAACACATCCCTAACAGTGGGCTACAACCCAAACAAGCAGGCATGCAGATGAAGCACCCATGTAGATGAGGAAGGAGAGGAGCTGTGGGTGTGTGGAAAGCTGCGGATGAGCAAAGGCTCTGGGATAAGTGTTTGGGACACATTTGTACAGACTATCATTCTATCAAAACTATCATTCAAAACATTAACGTACACGCCGAAAGCAAAGTGCAGCAGGGCCATCTTAGAAGGTTAGTTCACTGTACAAAAACAGTCCAAGTTTATCTCTAAAGTGCAGTGGAGCCAGAACTGTTCTAATGGTGAGAAACGCCACTGGGTGGCAGGATTCAGCATCCTGTGCTCCATTTGATGATAGCAGAATACTGGATGTCAAAGGCAATTTCCCAACAGAAACAGGACTGTTTCAATTGTTGTGCAAATTATAGCTATAGTTTTAATTACTCTCAGCTTGGCAAATATATATACATACATATATATATATACATGTGTGTATGTATATATATATGTATGTATATTTATACACATATTTATATACACACATATATTCTAATACAGGAGACAAATTCATAAGTTCATTGCTTTCTTTGGACTCCAGCAATGAGGTGCTTTTAAAGTAAAGTGTCTATAAAGGCCGCACTACTGCAAAGCCCCTTCTGCTTTGAGACTGGTTGGTGGCTTGACTCATGCAGCCCCAGGGGGAGTTATTTAACAGAGGTCAGGCCTGAGGGCTGCCTGGTAGGCATTCTGCAAGGCCCCGAGCTCAGGATGTAAGAGAGAGAGCACCGTCCCACCAAGAGCAGATGACATCAGAGAAGGAAGACAAAAGCAGAAAGTTATCCCGGCAGAGGGAGGAGGGGAGACACCGCACAGAGCGAGCTAGGTGTTCAAATGCATTGCTACCTAGGGAGCACAGGCTCATGGAGGACGGGTCACCCCACAGCCTTACTTTACGGTGAGGGGAGCATCTCCGCTTCTATTGGTGTAATTGACAACAGCATTGAAGGACTGGTTTATCCACTGCCAGAAAAGCACAGCCGGTGTGGTCCTAAAACAAGAGTAAGCCATCACATACCCTCCAGCACCAGTGAGCCGCCCTTCATACAGAAAGAAAATGTTCAACATCAACTACCAGCAAGGACGGGTACTAGGCAGGGAGGAAGTCTGCAGCCACAGACTGTCTACTTTGACACCCAGTTTCCTTATCACCAAGTTCACAGGGCTTCTGTCTCTGGGTTTCTATTGCTGTGATAAACATCATGACTAAAATCAACTTGGAGAGGAAAGAGTTTATTTGGTTTCATTTCCACATCACAGTCCATCATCGAAGGAAGTCAGGGCAGAGACCATGGAGGGGTGCTGCTTACTGGCTTGCTCTCCATGGCTTGCTCAGTCTGCTTTCTTAGAGAACCCAGGGCCATCAGTTCAGGAGAAGTACCACCCGCAGTGAGCTGGTCCCTTCCATATTGATCATTAATCAAGAAAATGTCTGGCAGTCTTGCCTATAGGCCAGTTTTATGACAGAATTTTTCTCAATTGAAAGTCTCCCTTCCCAAATGACTCTAGCTTGTGTCAAGTTGGCAAGAAACTAGCCAGGACAGCTTCTATCATAAAGAAATAAACTTATAAAAAAGCCTAGCACAGAGTAGACAGAGAAGAGCCCTTTTCTTGGGCAAACAAAACAAAACAAAGCAAAACAAAACCCCCAAACCCAAAATAACTATTTGCAAGTGAAGCGGGCTTGGCCCTTCTGATGCCGTGTCTATATCTACTCTAACACGCCTACCCAAACACACCTGTGTCTACAGAGAGAAAGAATAGAAGAGTTTATTTCTAGACTTTTTTTTTTCTATCTCATTTTCTTTAGGGCCCAAGACTTAGAGAAAAATGTCAACTTCTTTTTAAACAAAGATTTTATTTAGTGTCCTAAAAAAAAAGCTTTATTTATTCTTATCTTGTGTGTATGAGTGCTTTGCCTATATACATGTGTGTACAGTGCCTGCCAGAAGGTGTCAGATGCCCTGGAACTGGAATTACAGACAGTCGTGAGCTGCCATGTGGTGCTGGGAACTGAACTGGGGTCCTCTGCAAGAGCAGCCAGTGAGTGCTCTCAACTGCTGGGCCACCTCTATGTCCCTTGACTTAGCATTGTTAGAGGCAAAACACACCTTTAAATACAACGGATTGTGGTTGATTTACTTATTTATTATTATTTTACTTGATTGTTTTATTTTGTCTGCTCAGAATGACCTTAAACTCATGGCCTCCAGTGCCTTAGTCTCCCGCATGCTAGCATTCCAGGCATGAGCCCACATGCCCAGCTAAAACAGGTATTTATTTTCGCAAATCATGCCAGGTGCTGCTTAATAGAGTGGCAGCATCTACTCAGGGTGGAATTAAAGATGAAATGATATCTTTCTTATGTTAAAGCAATACCACCTCATTTTTTTTTTTTTTTTTTTTTTTTTTTGGTTTTTTTGAGACAGGGTTTCTCTGTGTAGCTTTGCGCCTTTCCTGGAACTCTCTTTGGAGACCAGGCTGGCCTCGAACTCACAGAGATCCGCCTGGCTCTGCCTCCCGAGTGCTGGGATTAAAGGCGTGCGCCACCACCGCCCGGCTAATACCACCTCATTTTATTAATTACTTTTGTGGTTGTTATTGTTAGACTGAGACAGGTGTTAGCTGTATAGCCAGGCTGGCCTCACACTCACAATCCTCTTGGCCTCCCAAGAGCTGTGGGTACAGGTGAGTCACTACACCCACCTCCATCTCCTTTTCAGCTGGTCTAAGTTCTAGTTAATTTTTAATTGAAATTTTTATTTATTTTGTATACATGTGCATGCACATGGAGGTCAGAGGATGACCTGCAATAAGTGGGCTCTCTGTATGCACTAAGTGCTTCCCAGGAATTGAACTGTGTGTTCAGGTTTGGTGGAAAGTGCCTTTATTCACTGAGTCATCTTGCCAACCATACATTTATTTTATTTTATTTTATTTTTTTTTACTGAATATACTTATGGGGTACAACATGTTTTGACACACATAGAATGAATTCATCATTCTTGTTAACATAATCACTGTGACATTTATTTCAGTAAAATTTATATTAAAATATTCCTCAAATTATTCCAATAGCAAATTAACAAACACCTCTCACGCATCTGTAACCTACCTGTAAAATGTCATCATGCAGCCCGTGATGGTCATGTTCATTGGAACCTGAGCTGACATTCTTCCTATCAGAATCATCTTTTCACCCGTGTCTGGATGGAAAGCTGAATCATACACGTACTTTGCTCTCCACAACTCATTTTCCGTGAGGCCAGCAGGAACGATTCCTTGCCTAGAAAATGACATCAAAAGTCTCAGCAACTCCTCCATTCAGATACCTTACCTTGAGCTTCATGGTTGGCAAAATCTTACTGCACCTATGGGACCTGGCAGGTCTGTTAGAGCGGTGGTGGTGGTTATTATTATTATTTTTAATTATTTATGTGTTTTCAGTGCTGGGAGTTGAACCCAGAGCCTCACACATACAGCATGCACTCTATTACTGGTCCTCCTGGCAGCCTAAGAACAAAAATACTGTTACAGTGAACTTCTCAGACCCACGCATCTCCATTATCTGTAATTTGGAAAATAACAGAAAGTAATATGCATATTAAGGAGTATTCAGCTTGAAGATATTCATTGTTTTAAGTGACATATTAAAACTGTAGTCTGAACATGGCAAACTGAACTATTTTTAACCAATCAGATCAAAGTTATGGCATTCAAGGCTATTACTTCATTTTAAACCTGCCGTTGGCAAACTTAAGTTTGGGACCCTTTGGTGCAAATAAAGGGCTTGCTGCACAGTTTGACAGATGTTCTCATGAAAGAAATACTCACTGTTAGAGACATAGAAAATATACAAATTTAGCGGAGCAATGAAGTTAGCCCGGGCCTGGCTACTGTTGCCACTGGCAACGCTTGGGTGAATACTTTCTCAGTCTTCCAAGGTGTTTAAGATATGACACCAGACCAGATGCTCACTAACTATGGCTTTTATTCAACAATATTGTGTAAATATTTCTTTGCTTGAATATAACATTCTTCTAAACCATCTACATTGGGTTGAATTAAATAGTAGTTCCCAAACACACATCCATATAGAGAACAGGGTGTGGCTTTATAGATGTAATTAGCCAAAGTGAAGGCCTACTGGATGAATGGTCACTAAACCCAAGGGACAGTGTCTATGCACAAACAGAGAAGGCAGAGAGTACAATGCTGTACCTACAAGCCAAGGGATGCTGACAATTCCTAGAGCCACCAGCACCCAGGATGAGGCAAGGATCCTCCCCGAAAGCCTTCAGAGGGAGTGTGACCCTACTGTGCCACCTGTCACTCAGACTTCCAGCCTCCAAACTGCGAAGGGGGCACATCACCTTTTAAATGCTACAGATTATTTCACAATGTGAGCTTTAATTGGAATTTCAATTCTACTTTTTCCATTTGTAAATATGGGAATAAGCCTTCATAATTAGAACTTTTCCCCACATCCAAGATTTAGGAATAAGTGAGTAAATTTGCTAAAGTGACAGCTATGTAAAATATTAAACATTTTAATGACTTTTATCCTCTGCATTTGAGTCTGAGTTTGTAGGGTGTGGAGGAAGCCCTGAGAGCACGCATATGACAAAGACCAAGGCTTTGAATTCATGAGAAATTGGCAAAGCCGGATCCCCATATGGGCCAGGCTCAAGAGGGATGGCAAAGGATGGGACCAAGTATGAGTGATCAGTGTGTGTACAGACTAGCAACTGCAGCTTCCTCCTCCAGGATGTTTAGAGCCTCAGAGTGCTCATCAACACAGACTCCTACCTGGAACAGCTAGGCCCTCCTCTGTGCGATACCTAATAAACACCTGAGGTTCTGGGTTGCCTGCTAGGCGCCCTCCATACAGCCCACATCACCACCCGGCCCCAGCTTTCCTGTATGTGTGTCTGTCCTTTCTTCCTTTCCTCCCTTCCCTTAGTCAGGGTTCCAGAAACCAAGATGCAGGTTGTGACAGCAAAAACTATGCCTTTTGCTCTTGAGTCTGGGTTTGTCTTAAAAAACAGCAGGAATTTATCCTAAGTATGTGTCTAGTTAGGGTTTCTATTGCTGAGATGAAACACCATGACTAAAAAGCAAGTTGGGGAGGAAAGGGCTTATTTGGCTTACACTTCAGCACTGCTGTTCATCACTGAGGGGAGTCAGGACAGGAACTCAAACAGGGCAGGATCCTGGAGGCAGCAGCTGATGCAGAGGCCATGGAGGGGTGCTGCTTATTGGCTTGTTCTTCATGGCTGACTTGCTTAGCCTGCTTTCTTATAGAACCCAGGACCACAGCCCAGGGATGGCATTAGGCACCATGGGCTGGGCCCTCCCCCATTGATCACTAATTGAGAAAATGCCTTACAGCTGGATCTCATGGAGGCATTTCTTCAACTGAGGCTCCTTCCTCTCTGATGACTCTAGCTCGTGTCAAGTTGACACACAAAACCAGCCAGTCCAGTAAGAGAATGTGACATTTGCTCACTTTACTTCCTGCTGGCTGGTTTCTATCAGCTGGGGTGTGAGGAGCACAGGGCTTGATCTTAGGCCTCTGCTGGGTCTCTGCTTACCTGCAGAGTGAGGACCACACTCACCACTTTAACAACAGCCCATCCTAACTGTTGGTGGGATAAGTGTTGTTCCTTCTATTACCCTCCTTATGCCTTAGTTACAGTCATTCGTCTTCCAGGAAAACCTTAAGTTATTTTTCTAGGTCTCATAGGCGATCACAGCTGTGCTGATGGAAACTGTTAATAGGAGAGATGCATTGCTGCGACAGTGTAAGGCTTCCTAGTCTGACTGCGTCTCTAGTGACTTTGGTTATTTTAACTGTCACACACTTCTAAGTAAGGCTGTTCCCAGTTCTCCCCCCTTCACTCTTGCGGGCTGCAAGAGTATATTATAGAGACTCAGCTGGATATTAAAGCTATACCTAGAAATTTCAAGGTATTTTTCTAGAGGCAAGCCATTTATTATGGAATATTTGGTGTTATCCAGTTTTTAATATTTCAGCTGTCTTCTGCTATGAAATTCTTGCATGCCCAAATATTTCCAGACCATTATGGCAAACAGCTAAGCTTCTGGAACACTGTTCTACTCGGTACTAACTCCCCCACTGAGCCTAGGAGACAAGCAGATGGCAGATGCATAGCCTTGTTTCTTGTGCAAATGAAGCTCAGACCATCCCTTGCCTTCAGGCCTACTGGCATTCCAGAGCAATTGACTGAGGAAACAGGACTTTTTGCATAACCAGGTGCAGTAAGGCCTGGAGCAGAATTCCAGAGGAGACACAGAACCCTGTGGCCAGAAAGAGGAGAGGAAGACAGAGATTCTGTAGAGAGTAAAGCAGATCTCTTGTCGAGTTTATCAGGGCCAGGGGTAAGGGGCCAGGAAGGATAGATGGAGGACAAAGGAACAGAGGACGAAGATGAAGTCAAAAGCATAGGCGCTTTACTAAAACTATGAGGACAGGAAAAGTGGGCACAGAGAGGAGCTGAGTGTGAGGACGGGGCTGAAGCTGTATAGATAGAATTTTGTCATAGAGGAATAAAGTCAGCAGACAAAAGAGCGCAGTGTATGTAGATTCCCTCAGATACTCCACACCATACGTAGCGTCTTTCCCAGGACTCTAGGAGGAATTTTCTCAGGGCAGGAACTTGGGAAAATTCTGTTATCCTTACTTCACAGACATACACACTTCAAAAATTTAAATTATGTAGCAGTGTCTGTGTGTGGGGATGTGCACATGTGTGCAGGTACCTGCAGAGGCCACAGGTGTTGGGTCCCCTACATCCGTAGCTAACAGGTGTTTGTGAGCTGCCCGAGGTGGGTGCTGGGTACTGAACCTCAGTTTTCTGTAAGGGCAGTATACACTCTTCACCTCTGAGCCATTGCCCCGCCCACATTCTGCATCTTTAAGTGTTCTGATACAGTGTGAACTTCCGTCACTGTGCATGCTGATGCTATATGTGGATTAAAAGCAGACCCTCTCATCACCTTTATTTGTTATTTCAAGGTGATTAGGATATTGTCAGCTGCAAGATACAATTGCTTCATCTTTTTAATATCTCTACTTAGTTTCAAAGTGTTTTTGAACAGTGAAGACTTATTCTTACCCTTGATGCCTTGGGCTGCATGCTTTCCTATATGTGTTCCCTGAGTCATTAATAGAGGTTACTGTGATACCTCAGTAAAACCCCCCACTCTATCCCTTACAGACAAAGAGAAGCTTAAACCAGGATTCCTAAGTGTAGATAAGAACTTAGACCCCTTTCCCCAGGTGGCTGTATCTGCTACAGGGACTTTGGAAAACACAGAGTCAGGACCAAAAGACTAAAAAAAGGGAGGCGGGTTAAAATAAATTATATGGTCTGTGCCTTTAAGAACTAACCTCACAAAGAAAGGGGAGCACTCCTTCCAACCTCCCTGCTGTGAGTGAGAGATTTGGAAGAGCCTCCCTGGAGGCTTGTAAACTTAGAATACACCTTACTTTTGCATTCTGTACCTAAAGTCTCCAGTGGTGGCTTTGGGGATGCAATCTAGGCACAGCAAGACCCTCACTCGCTGGGCGTTGGTGGCACACGCCTTTAATCCCAGCACTTGGGAGGCAGAGGCAGGCGGATCTCTATGAGTTCGAGGCCAGCCTGGGCTACCAAGTGAGTTCCAGGAAAGGCGCAAAGCTACACAAGAGAAACCCTGTCTCAAAAAAAAAAAAAAAAAAAAAAAAGACCCTCACTCTATTGTCTCAAAAAGGGGGCCTTAGACAAAGACATCTCAATATAGATAGACCCAGGCCAGTTTCAAGTCCCCAAAAATGATGGTGCCAGCCCCAGGAACAAAAGAACAGAGTCAGGATGTCTGATGGTAATCAATTAACCACGAGATGCCCCTCTCCGGAGATAACATGACCAGACCCCAGAGAGGAGTTGTAAAACTCCTGACAGGGCAAACAGATAAGCTAGAATAAGATAAAGTCCAGGCCCGGGAAAAACTGGACCAATCAAGGATGGACCCGTACTAACCCCCTCCCCTCTAAGAAATTTTATGAGTTTTGCCTATAAAAACTAACTTCCCCAAGAAAGAGTAACTCTTCCCTGCCTCACTTGAGATGGCTTGAGATGAGTTCCCTGTCATGACTTGCAGCAGACTGCTGTCAGGGTTAGAGTACTAAACACAGGTTGATGTCAGGGTTAGAGTACTAAGCACATGGACTGCTGTCAGGGTTAGAGTACTAAGCACATGGACTGCTGTCAGGGTTAGAGTACTAAGCACATGGACTGCTGTCAGGGTTAAGCCTTCTCAGCACATGAACGTCTGCTATCTTCATAAACATTGCTCGGCCCATCTGCTGTTGGACTTAATTGTTTAATTAAACACATACAATTCATGAAGTTCCTACTGCGGTATCATTGCTTTTACTGTGTAACTCTACCTGGTTCTTCTTTGGGAATAAAGAGAAGGGATTTAGAAATTCTGGTGTGGCTTGTCGGGGCTTTCAGCGCCACGTTAGGACCACATTTCGGATCAAGTTCCTGTCGCTTCTAACAGCCCCTTTCTGGTGCAGCTCCGGCTGGCTGATGAATGCTGTCTGGCATTCACGAGACCTACAGTCAACACTGGATTGTTCTGATCCACTTACCCTAAATTGTCCCTTGTCTGATTTCTATACAGAATTTCTGCTTCTTTTTTATTTTAGTTTTTAAATTTCATCTCTTGCCTACTCAAGGAGAGTTCTCAAGGAGTGTGGACCTGATTCTTTGCTAATGATGGTAGTCTGGAATAAACTGCCTGGCTGCAGCCCTCTGCTGGGCACTACATGCTGACTCGTCCACCAGTGGGTGTGCAGATGACAGATAACTTTCTTATTGTGTTCATGGAGGCCAATTCAGGGGGCAAAAGGGACTAACAGGAGGGGGAGGGGGAGGGGTGAGAAACACCCAGGCAGGAGTTTATAGGAAAATGTTCCAACTTTTACATGAAAATGTCTTTCTGAAGCCCAGTACTATGAATACACACCAAGAAAAAAATGTTACTTTAAGGGGAAAAAAAGTTTGTTTAGGGCTGGAGAGATGGCTCAGTGGTTAAGAGCACTGGCTGCTCTTCCAGAGGACCCTAGTTCGATTCCCAGCACCACGTGGTAGTTCATAACCATCTGTAATTCCAGTCTCAGGAATACAGTTCCCTCTTCTGGTCTCTCCAGGCACCAGGCACCCAAGTGGCACACACACACACACACACACACACACACACACACACACACACACACGCAAACAAAATGCCCATATACATAAAAAAGTTTGTTTATAGACAACATAAAAGGTTTAAAAAATGGCCACGTACGGCTCTCTCCTCTGGAAAGGGCATGTCTCTTTAGCTTGTGGACAGGTTCTGAGTGCAGAAAGTCTTTCTCTGTTACATAGATTGGTGTTCTCTTGAGTTTTCCTGAAGCAAGTAGCAACTAATTATTTCTTCACCCTCTAGTCCATAGCCCCCTTATATAGTCACTGTTGATGTGACCGGATTTAGAATCCCCCAGGACATGAGAAAAACACACCTCGTGGTATGTCTTTGAAGGCACTTCCAGAGGAGATTAACTGTGTGTACGTGTCTGTGTGTGCATGCATGTGTGTACATCCTGACTGTGGGTGCCACCGTCCTTGGGCTGGGGACTCAGATGGAATACAGCAGGAAAAAGCCGAGGGTGCTGACCTCCCTCCTTCTCTGCAATAACCATGGCAACGGTGGATAGAATGGCTCCTCCCTTAAGTTATTCACATCAGGTGTTTCGGTCAGAACACCACCAAGGAAACTGCTAAAGTAACGGAGACATAATCTTTCCCCCCCTTACTCTTTCGGGAATGGCAAGGGCAGTCCAGAGCCTGACCTGCACGCTAAGAGCAGTTGTTACAGTTTTAGAACAGCCCACAGAGACCTTCTCAATACCTTTTGGCCCTTTTAGAGTTTGCTGACCTCTCATTATGGTCCTTGAGGAGCCCATATGGTTTATTCTCTGCTCTGTCTGTTGTTAGTTCCCAAACATTGCTTCCAGTGAAGATTTTAAGTTCTCTACAGCATTTTAAGTTTCTTCGTCTCTTCATTATGTCATCTTCAAGTGGTCAACCTGCCCTCTGTCTTTTGTTCCAAATTCACAAAGAACACTGATTTTCCTGAAGTCCTGAAAACACGCTTAAGTGAAGTCTTCCTTTGTAGACTGGCACTGGTCCCTCCTAACCTCCCAGCCAGCAGTAAACACCTGAGGCGTGTTATTCCTGCTTTGTTTAGGGGTAGAGCACCTGACGGTGGAATTCCCTGTATCTGATTGGCTTTTCCCTAGAGCAGAAATCAGCAAATTACTGTCCATGGTCTGTATGTCCCCCAGATCACAGGGATTTTACATTAAAAGGGTTATAAAAAAGTAGTAAAGTTATTATGCGACTGAGACTCTTTGAAGTGTACAAAGCCTCAAGTATTTATTTTTTCAAAAAATTTCATGTGTATAAGTGCATGTGTGTAAGTGCACCATATGCATGCCTGGACCCATGGAGGTCAGAAGAAGGCATCAGGTCCCCTGAAACTGGAGTTACAGGCTGTTGTGAGCCACCACGTGGGTACTGAGAGCTGAACCTGGGTCCTCTGTAAGAGTAAGCAGCTCTTAACTGTAAGCTGCTCTCCAGCCCCTACAGCATTTCTTATCCAGTTATTTATTTATTTTTACTTATTTATTTATTTAAAATAGAATACATCTACTGCTGAATTAGCTGTCTCCAAGCACACAGATTCTGAAATTAGAGTATTTTCTATAGGATGCCTGATATTTGTTTATTTGTATTTAATCCCATACATTCCTTTTTTATTTTTTGAGATGGGGGTCTCACAATGTTGCTCAGGCTTGTCAAGCACTGGCTGAGTGAGTCCCCTGCCTCAGCCTCATGAGTAGCTGAGACTTAGGCAGGTAGTACCATGTCTGGATTCTTTCTCATGTGTTGATACCATCTCTAGATTACCTGCTACACATCATGAATGAGAAATGCCCTGTACAGTTAGACTGCACTGTTGATGGAGTAATAATAAGAAAAAGAAGTCTGTTCATGTCCAATGCTGGCAGAAGATATTTTTCTAGTGGTTTCTACCAGAACTGGTTAAAAGCAAGGCCAGAGAATTGGTGAATGTGGAAGACCAATTGTCCCTGCATAGGTGGCATCCTCTTATCTTATGTGTGACCCTCTCAATTGATGGAGTGCACCTCACATGTACATGCCTGAACTTCATCAGAATCCTTTCCATCTGAGTACTCACCTAGAAAGTCTCCCTCACTGGGGGTGTGTCTCAGCAGCAATGGCCCTACCCGTAGTTATCAGGGGCCTGTTTCTTTTTTTTTTTATTAAAAATATTTTTTATTATTTTTAATAATGTGTGAGTATGTGCAGAGGTTCTGGCCTGGAGCTAGTTACAGACACCTGCTGGTGGTTTCTGGGAATCGAACTTGGGTCCTCTGGAAGAGCAAGCAGTACATGCTCTTAATAACTGAGCCATCTCTCCAGCCCCTTATTGTTTTTGTTTTTTTTTTTTTTTTAATTTTTTAAAGGTTTATTTCATATGTGTGATTATTTTGCCTGCATGTATGTATGTATACCATGTGGGTGCCTGGTGCTCACATAGGCCAAAAGAGAGCATTGGTTCTGCTGGAACTGGAGTTACAGGCTGTTGTAAGCCCCAAGGGAGCTGGAAATCAAACCTGGATCTTCTGCAAGAGCAGCAAGTGCTCTTAACTGTGAGCCATCTCACCAGCCTTCTTGAGTGTATTAAAACAACAACAACAACAACACCAGGGTCTCCACTGGCATGATGGCGCATGCCTTCAATCCCAGTATTTGGGAGGCATAAGCAGGTAGATTTTTGTGAGTTCAAGTCCAGCCTGGTCTACACTGTGAATTCTAGTACAACCAGGACTATGTAGAAAGAGGGGCCTGTTTCTTGAACGATGCTGTTTCTATCCAATGACAGAAAGATGCTTGGGACAATTATGTCAAAGAAAAGGTCTAGGATGCTGGGGAAGGAGAGCTCACAGACAGGTCATCAAGACACAATGAACACTGGCTATTCTGTGGTCAGGGTCAGCTCTGGGGATCTACATGATCTTTTTATTTATTCATTTATTTTGGTATGTAGTAGTTTACAATACCGTCCAATCAGGAAGCACTTTAAAAACAATTAACGTGGCGATCTACTACCCGGTAGGCCAGAAACAGCATCAACCTCACCTGTAGTCATGCACCACCTTTCTTGCATTCTCTAGTTGTTCGTTTGTTAGGAGGATGTTCCTGGGGTCCGTGACAGTGAAGAAGTGATTGGCTCGGCCGACAAAAGTGCTCTGGTCCCATCGAGGCTCCTTGATGTTAATGTTGGGTGGCACTTCCCCAGACATCGTCCCAGATCCTGAAAAGGGAAGGAGTGGGCAAGCGAGGTGACACTGTTACTACAAGCAAGGTGTCTGGTAGTCACACTTAACCTGTGTGTAAAGATGGCTCCATGGGTAAAGCTTTGACACACTAGCACGGTTACCTGCGCTCCACCCCTGGGACCGACATCAAAGGTAGGAGAATCGACTCCACCACGCTGTCCTGACTTTCACAGGTGTGACATCGCTGTGCTTACCAGCCCCCCACACAGCACACACACACACACACACACACACACACACACACACACACACACACACACACACA